AACACAGCCCCCTGCTCTGTCCCCTGCCAGGTCCGGCTCCATAGCTGCTTGGAGCCCCAGTCCCCAGCGCCCCCCTGTGCCCAGGCCCAGCTCCTGGAAGGAGCACGGGTCTGAGCCAAACACACCTGCATGGGACCACCCTGGGGGCGCCGGGCTGGGGGGCAGGGAATGGGGCCCAGGGCCTACAGGACACTGGGCCTCAGAACAGCCCTGCAGGGCGCTGGGTCTCCGGTTGCGCTATTTCCAGCCCAGTGGCACTTGCTGGCCCCAGGCCCCACCCCTTGCCCTGCCTGGACTCCAGCCCAGGCCTCGGGCGCTGCAGCAGCGTCAGGAAGAAGCACAGAGACGGAACCCAAAGCACTCCTGGGCATGGCCGAATACCTGCAACCCAAACCCAGGAGTCCTTCTGCCCAGCCCCCTGCTCCAACCACTGAGCCCCACTCCCGTCCCCGAGCTGGGGAGAGAACCCAGGAGTCCTGGCTCCTGCCCCCCTGCACAGACCCAAGTGGGATCAGACCCCGGGTGGGTCGTGCGAGGGGGCGAGGGCAGGGGGTTATTTACGAAACTCCAGCTGTGCAAAACTCTCTGCGGCAGGGACAGGAGGATGGGATCAAACATGAAAGGGAGGGGAGGAGATGGAGAAATGTAAACAAGGGAGAATGGACGGACGGACAGACAGACCGGGGGTGGATGGGGACAGCTGGGGAGAGATGTTTGGGGTAGATGGGGACAGACAGACAGACCGACGGGGGTGCATGAGTGGATGGGGATAGACAGACAGATGGGGATGGATAGGAATAGACAGACAAACGGGGGTAGGTGAGGACAGACTGACAGCCCGACATGGGTGCATGGGGACAGACAGACAACCAGCCTGACGGGGGTGCATGAGTGGATGGGGATAGACAGACAAGACAGGCAGGGCTGGATGGGAATAGACAGACAGACGGGGGATGCATGGGGACAGACAGACAGACCGACGGGGGTGCAGGAGTGGATGGGGATAGACAGACAGAAGGGGGTGGATAGGAATAGACAGACAGACGGGGGGTGCATGGGGACAGACAGACAGACCGACGGGGGTGCAGGAGTGGATGGGGATAGACAGACAGAAGGGGGTGGATAGGAATAGACAGACAGACGGGGGGTGCATGGGGACAGACAGACAGACCGACGGGGGTGCAGGAGTGGATGGGGATAGACAGACAGAAGGGGGTGGATAGGAATAGACAGACAGACGGGGATGGGTGGGGACAGCCTGACAGGGGTGCATGGGGACAGACAGACAGCCAGCCTGGCAGGGGAACATGAGTGAATGGGGATAGACAGACAGACTGACGGAGGTGCATGGGGACAGACAGACAAGCAGCTGACAGGTGCACGGGGCCAGCTAGGGAGGGGTAGGCCGGGGGGCGGCGAAGTGGGGGGAGAAGGGAAACG